CGAGGCGTCGGTGATGGAGAACAAAGAGGGGGCTGCCGGCTCCCGCGGCCCTGCCACGATGCTGTTCCCAGCGATCGGCACCGGGAGCACGGCAGCGCCGGTTTCCCCGGGCGCGGGAGGGGCGGGGGAGCCACTCGGACCCACCATGCCCTTCAGCCGGGCCGGCGCTGCCCTTGCGGACACTGACGGCCCTCCAAGGGCCGGAGCCCGGACAGGAGCCACCATCAGCATCACCCTTGGGCGGCGCAGCCACCGGACACCGCGGGGTGACACCGCCCGGCCCGGAGCCGCCGCCGGCCTGTGCGCAGCGCCGGGGGGCCCGGGGGGCCGGCGGGGCAGGGCGGCGATGCCCGGCCCGGCGCTCACCTGCTCGGCGCCGTAGGCCGTGGCGAACTGCACGAACTCCTCCACGCGCACGAAGCCGTCGCCGTCCCGGTCCAGGGCGTCGAAGACCGGGCGGAGGCGCGGCTCCTCCTCCGGCGGGGGCTCGGCGGGGACCCCCGGGCCCGGGCTGCCCCCCGCGTCCCCCGGGCCCCAGGGCGGCGGCCCCGCGCCGGGAGCGGCGGGCTCAAGTGCCCAGAGGTCCAGCTCCAGCTCTGGGTCCGGGTCCAGCTCCGGATCCCGCTCCGGGTCCGCCTCCTGTTCCAGCTCCGGCTCCGGTTCCAGATCCAGCTTGGGTTCTAGGTCCAGCTCCGGCTCCAGATCCAGCTTGGGTTCTAGGTCCAGCTCCGGCTCCAGATCCAGCTTGGGTTCTAGGTCCAGCTCCGGCTCCGGTTCCAGGTCCACCTCCGGTTCTAGGTCCGGCTCCGGCTCCGGGTCCAAATCCAGGTCCGGCTCGGGTTCCAGGTCCAGCTGCGGCTCCGGTTCCGGTTCCAGCTCCGGCTCCGGCTCGGGTCCCGGTCCCGGCCCCCGGGGCAGCGGGGGCTCGGTCCCAGGCGGACGCGGCTCCATCTTCACCGCCGGCGCTCCGCGCCCGCCGCCGCCCGCCCCGGGCCATGCCCCGCGGCCATGCCCCGCTCACATCGGGGCGGTGCCGGTGCCGGTGCGGTCTCCCCGGCACTCACGGCTTTGTGCGAGGAGCGCCGGCCCCGCCCGCCGACACCGGGGGCGGCCCCGCCGGTCCCGCCCCGCCCGGGGAGCGGCGGCTCCGAGCGCTGGGGCCGCGGGTCCTGCTCGTGGCCGGGGGTTGGGGGAGGCGGCAGCGGCACCGAGAAACAAGCCGCGGTCCGGCCGCGCCGCCGCTCCGGGGCCGCCCGCGGGGAACCGGCAGATCCAGCCCGGCCGCCGCCGCAATAGCCGGGGCGGTGACGTCACTCGCCTGCCGGTGCGCCCCGCCCCTCCGCGGCGCGAGCCCGTGCCGGGGCCACGCCCCCTCCCCAGCGCGCGCGACATGGGGCGGGGCCGGCGGGGAGGGGCGGGGCCACGCCGAGCCCGAGCACGTGGGACCGGTGCGGGGTGGGGGGGGCACCGTCAGTGGGGACCCCCGAACGGCTCCGGGACGAACCGTGAACGGGAACCCCCAACGTGCCCTGCTGATAAACCATGCTCCGGGATCCCAAACCCAAACCGTGCTCCGGGACCCAAACCCCTCAGGGGTGCACCGGAACCGCCCAACAACTCCAGATATGAACCGTGCACCGGAACCGCAAACCCCTCCGGGTACGGACTGGGCTCCGGGATACCCAAACCCCGCCGGGAAGATGAACTGTGCTGCGAGATGCCTGAGCCCCTGCAGGACAGCACTGTGCACCAGGACCCCTGAACTGCTCCGGGGGGAAGATTGTGCACTGGAACACACCTGGGATTGTGTCATGAATTAATGAATGCCCGAGTTTAGGGCTCACAGCCTGCAGGCTCGGTGCACTGGCAGTTTCTGCTGGAACCCTGGGATGACCCCACCAACACACCCATGAGTTGGCCAAGCGGGTGGAATTACAGCCCCCGGGAGTAATTAGCAGCAAACTTGATGAGCAAGAGCCTCCCTGGCTCCACTGACTGCCCAGGCCATGGATGTGCGTGACATCTCAGGAGCCTGGTTGGGCCACAGTGTATACCCCAGCACACTCAGCCTGAGAGCCAGAGTGGAGCAGCATCCCTGGAGAGCATGTCACCCCTGTCCCGTCAGTCCAGTGCTGGGAAACCTCCACTCCAAATCCTTTTCCTCATCACAGCCATTCCCAAAGGTGAGCAGGGCAGGAGTGGGCTCTTCTGTCAGTCCCACAAGGGGAGCAGAGCTGCTCTCCCTGAGTGACTCCCTCCAACATTCCCTGGGCTGTACAATTCCCAGTTTCCAGACAGCCCAAGCAGCCAGGGTTCCTGTTTGGATGAGGCTGGCAGGGGTACAAGGTGCCTTTCGGAAGTGCCAGCCTGGCACTGTGAGTGGCAGCTCTGCACCCCTCCCTGGGTTCCTGCAGCTCCAGGCCATGCCAAGGCTGGGCTCGGAGCTCTGTCCTTCCCCTGGTGCTGGAAGCACATGGCCAAGCTCGGCTCCCTGTTCCTGTGGTGGCCACAGAGCCAGGATGGCCCTGACAGTGCCTAAGCCACCTGGTGACAGTTAAACAAGACAGGGGAAACACGGAGCCTCCCGGAATAGGGATGCCTGTCAGAGACAAGGCTGCAGCTGGGCAACAAGGACCAACACCCATCATACAAGTACCTTCTCCAAGACAAAACACATCCTGTTATCCAGGAAGAATTCTAGGGCTGCAGCCAATTCCCAGGAGCCTGGGCAAAGGACGTTGCCCAGATCCCAGCCCAAGCACTGCATCCCCATCTCTCTGAAGAGCTGAGCCTCTCACCAAATCCCTCAGCACTTCAGCCTCACCTCTGCTGCTGTAACTGCCTTCACAGTGCCACTGGGGCTGAGCAGGTGGCAGGTCCCCAAGCACCCTGGCCTGGARCACTGGGGTGCCAACAGAGCCAATGGCTGGGGCCACACAAGGCTCTGCYAGTGGGAGCAGTGGTTCTCCCCCTCCCTCAGGCCCCATTCAGACCACCAGGACCAGTCAGCCGGGCAGGGCACTGGTGCTCGTGCAGCAGAGAGAAGCATCACGGCTACGGGTGCAAGTTTTTTATTTGTGGCCTGGAGGAAGGAGCAAACCCTGGCAAATCTACAATCAAGTAGAAAATACAATGAAGTGGGAGAACAAGCTTCAATGAATTCAGGATGAGCCTAAAAAGTGCCAGCAGCAGCAGGAGGCCACGTGTCCCCCAGGGTGCTGGCAACCAGGGACAGGGCTGGCTCCAGCAGTGCCATCTGTGCAGCCCTGGTGTGGCTCCAGCAGCCCAGCAGGAGGAAAGGACTGGGTTCCAGTTCTAGCCCTTCGTTTACCCTCAGCTCGAGTGTCTGGAAGGTGACAGCGTAACACTGGTGTGACAGATGGGTGTGGACAGACCACTGGACACCTACAGTGCTGCGGTGCAGAGCCAGACCATTGGGGATCTGCCCTCACACCACCTCTGCTCCTGTGGCATCCCAGCTGCATCCATGGCAGCCTCCCAGACCCTCTGTCACAGCCAGGAGCCCCTAGGGGACAAGGCCACTTCCCTCTTCCTCCAAGGGCAGAGCCTGCCAACACCAGGTGATCCTGACCCCAGCTGGGCTGAGCTGCTTCCCCTCCCAAAAAAGAAGCTGCTGCTGGGGGTCTTGGGCAGTTCTCAGGCTGAGATGGGGAGATGGGCTTAAGAAGACAGATATCCATGGATGGCACTTCTTGGAGCTYGGGAGAGGCCAGGAGAGCACTYGGAGRSACAGTGCCCATCCCAGCCCYGTGGCTGTCCCTGYSCCTGCAGCCATGCCAGCWCAGAGAGCAGCAATGGCACAGGACGGGGCTGGGCTCCTTCCCCACCCACACCCCCTGAGCTCTGCCCCCAGGCAGACACAGCACTGGCAGTGCCACCACCATCACCAGAGGCTGAGGAGAGGCTGTGGCTGTGGACAGTGGCTCTGGGAGATGTCCCCCCAGTGTCCCAGGTCACATCTGTCCATCGGTCAGTCCCAGGCCRTCCATCAGTGGGGTTGGTTTGCTCCTGCAGCCCAGACATCTGCAAGAGAGGGAGGAGGTGGGGACAGAGCCCTGCTGGGGYCTGCCCAGCTCAYAGAGGCCAGGTGGGCACAGGMAGGGAAGAGAGGAAGGAAGGAGACCCCTTCCCCTGCCAGGCTGCAGGAATTCATGCAAGGAAGAGGCTTTGAGATTCTCCGTGCCCAGTCCTGCTGCTAGGGCATAGATAAAATGGGCATCATCTTGCTTTGAGGGACACTCAGAGGCGTCTGGACAAGCATCCAACAGACACCATGTCACAACCCTGGCTCAAAGGGAAAACCCAGCAAGTTCTGCTCTTCCCAAGCCATGCCTAGGACTGTCCATAGGGCACTGTACCCGCTGCTGTCCCTAGGGAATCATGGAATCATTTAGGTTGGAAAAGCCCTCTAAGAACACGAGTCCAACTGTTTCCCCCAACACTGCCAAGGTCACTACTGACCTATGTCCCCAAGTGCCACATCCACATGGTTTTTAAATTCCTCCAGGGATGGGGACTCCACTCTGCCCTGAGCAGCTCTGTCAGTGTCTGACCACTCTTTCCATGAAGAAATTTTCCCAATATCCAACCTAAACCTCCCCTGGCCCAGCCTGAGGCCGTTCTCTCTCCTCCTGTCCCTGTTCCCTGGGAGCAGAGCCCGAGCCCCCCGGCTGCCCCCTCCTGTCAGGGAGTTGTGCAGAGCCACAAGGTCCCCCCAGAGCCTCCTTTGCTCCAGGCTGAGCCCTTTCCCAGCAGCTCCTCACTGACCTGTGCCCCAGGGAAAAGCAGCACTTCCCTGAGCAGCCCTGCTCCCATGCCACGAGGGGGAAATGCAGTCACCTAGAGTTTAGCAGAGGAGGAGGCAATACCCAGCAAGGCAGAGAAGCTGTTGGGGGAGGTGAGCCAGCTGCCACCATCCACGACCAGGGTGGTGCCGGTGACGTAGGAGGACAGGGGGCTGGCCAGGTACAGGGTGCTGTGTGCGATCTCAGTCTTGTTCCCCGCGCGCTGCAGCGGGATCACGGAGAACTGGTCGGATTTCTCAGCAAACTTCCCACCTGAAAGGGACAGGGAAGAGTCAGTTTGGACCAYAGGAGGACTGCTCATCATCACAACCTGCCAGGCACTGCACTGCCCATGGGGCTGGCTGAGTGCTCCTGGGAACTGGGATGAGATCCTGGTACAGCCCTGGCATAAAAACCTGAGAAGACTGAAAGGAGGGGAGCTCAAGTGGAGCGGGGATTTTGTACTGACACAGCGAGTTCAAGACAGGACCTCAGAGAGCTTTAGAACCATGGAATCCTGAAATGGTTGGGGTTGGGAGGGATCTCCCCTTGTCCCCTGCCATGGGCAGGGACACCTTCCACTGTCCCAGGCTGCTCCAAGCCCTGTCCAGCCTGGCCTTGGGCACTGCCAGGGATCCAGGGGCCTCCCCACCCTCCCAGGGAACAATTCCTTCCCAATATCCCATCCATCCCTGCCCTCTGGTTGTGGGAAGCCATTCCCTGTGTCCTGTCCCTCCATCTCTTGTCCCCAGTCCCTCTCCAGCTCTCCTGGAGCCTTGTTAGGCCCTGCAAGGGGCTCTGAGGTCTCCCTGGATCCTTCTCCTCTCCAGGCGAGCACCCCCAACTCTCCCAGCCTGGCTCCAGAGCAGAGGGGCTCCAGTCTTTGGAGCAGCTCTGTGGCCTCCTCTGGAGCCATTCTAAGAGCTCCACATCTTTCCCAGCCTCCTGGGCTCCACCAGTCACTGAGGGACTGCAACAGCCATCAGGCAGGGCTGAGTTTTAGGGGAGCATMTTCCATCATGGCATCAGAGAGCCCAAAAAACTGCCAGACCAGTGCTCAGGGAGGTACCAGGGGTGCATGCACAGAGGTGCCAGCCGAGTCACAGCACAGCCGTGCCCAGCAGCAATGCCCTATGAACTGTGTGGCACCAGGGGTCCCTCCCACTCCCCTCCAGGGCATGCCAGGAGCCCAGGTTGCCTCACCCAGGCGCCGGAAGCCCTCAGTGCCTGTGATGGGGCCGGGGGCCAGGCTGTTCACACGGATGTTGTTGGGTCCCCACTCCACAGCCAGGTGACGGGTCATGGCATCTGGGGAGGGATTACAACACCACTGAGAAACACAGAGCACAGCCATTGCAGGAGATCTTTTTGAGAGGGGGAGAAAAAGCCACAGAAGCTCTGGCTGAGAGCAGAATGCCTTGGGGGAGAGAARAACCTCATCCGAAACCTCATCCCAGTAACCACACCGATTCACACTTGTCTCTCCCCAAGACATCTTCCCACAGCAGTATTTGGGAAGAACTGGCTCCTTTCCTGGCCCCACAGGGCCCAGAGCCCCAGCAAGGAGGGTTGAGATACCTATGGCAGCCTTGGCAGCCCCAGCGTGCACCTGCAGGGCCTGCCCTCGGTAGCTCAGGGTCGCTGTGATGTTAACGATGACCCCGCCGTGGTCCTGGGGAAGGAAAGGAGAGGGGGACTGAGGCAGGGAGCAGCACCAAGGGTCACACAGGCCTGTGAGGGACAGAARAGCTGGGCTAGGAGGGACAGTAACCCGTGGGGACTGCCAAATCCTCCCTGAGGCAGCTCTGCCCACCCAACCTCAGAGCTGGGGCAGCCAGCAGGGGCATGCAGAGAGGTGGGACATGCAGGGAGCAWGGGAAAGGAGCAGAGCTGGAAAAGAGCAGCACATCACAGCTTCTCCAGGTGGCAGGGCATGGAAAGGTGCTGCAGCAGCCCAAAGCCCCAGGGCAAGGGACAGACAGGACCCCCAGTTCAGGGCTGGGATCTCTGGAAGGGAACAGAGCAGATCTATGCAGGGAGGCTCTAAGTGCTGCATTCCCTTGTGCCCTCCACACTTCCCTGAACTCCCCAGGAGCACAACATGGTTTGACAGTCCTCAGAGTCCCRTGGCTCTGTGCCACTTACCCGGAAATACTTCTCAAAGAGCACTTTGGAGGTGTTGAAGGTGCCCATGGTGTCGATGTCTATCACAGTCTTGAAGGCGTTGAAGGACAGGGCACTGGCTGGGCACAGGAAGTTCCCTGCAGCACCTGAACCACAGCGACAGTCAGGACAGGGCTGGGACAGATCCAGCAGGATCAGGGCGCTTCTGTGACAGGGAGGCTGAGGGATAATGTCTGGGTAGACTACAGAGCACATGGGGAACAGCTCTGGTAAGGGATAACTGGTGGCTCTGGGTGCCCAGCAGCATGGCCAGCACAGGGGGAGCAGGGATGATCCRCACCCAGGCAAACAGGGATGGCCCTGCACCACAGATAGATCCCTGCTTCCTCTGTGCTCCCGGGAAATGCCCTTCCCAGCAGGGAGCCCAAATCCTCACCATTAATGAGGATGTCAATCCTCTTGAACTCCTTCAGTGCCTCATCCACGGCTGCCACAATGGTCTGAGGCTGTCGGACATCGACAGACAGAGGCAGGCACTGCTGCCCTGTGGCTGCCACCAGCTTTTTCGAAGCCTGCAAGAACAAAAAGAAACCTGAGACTCTTTCTGGGACTCATTCCTTCAGCAGGAGCTGGACCAAGGCTTGTATCAGGTGAGCACAAAGTCAGGCAGGAGCCACATCCCTGTCAGCACAAGCAAACAGTATGGGCAGGGGAGGGACCTGCCCAAACATGGCCAGCTCCAGCCTGACAGCACCCTGGGGTAGCCAGGGAAAGCTTTCTCCATGTTAYCCCAGCCAAACTGGATGCTGGGCTGGCCCTGAGGCTGCAGCTAGCTCAGCCCAGTTACCTGTGTGGGCTGCCATGGACACAGAAACATCTCTGCAGGGCAAGTACAAAGGTTGGACCCCAGCAAGGCATTTCTGGCACGAGCCAGAGCAYAATTAACCTTTAGATCCAAAAAGTCAGTGGGCAAAAGGGCAAAGGCAGAGCAGCCAGGTGTGAGGCTGTGAGACAGGCCAGCTCTGCGGCTCAGCGTTTGTCACAAGCCACCTCTGTGGCTCATAAAGAGTGAGGTTTTCCACATCAAATCAAACACAGGGGACACACAAGCTCAGCAGCAACTCCACAAAACAGTCAGGGATGCTCCAAGCTCCGTTTTTGGCTCTGTGAGAGGGTTTTGAGCCCCAACAACACACRGGTGCACAAGCAGCAGGAGCTCAGGACTGCAGGTTCTGTGGCCTCAGAAGACTCCGAATCCTGAGGACTAAAAACCTGTTGGGCTTTGCAGCTTCTTCTGGCATGTGAACAGGGGGGGATATGAAACCACAGCCAGCCACACTTGCACCCTCCCCTGTGCCCCAAAGCACAGCATTGCTGAGGCAACCCACCTCAACCCACACAACCCCTGCACTCTGGTCCTACTCCAGGCTGAGGTTTAATCCCAGCCTTGGGCTCTGCTCTGCTGACAAACCTCCCCCACAGCTCATTTCTRCCAGTCTCACCCACAAAAAGCCATCATGATTGTGGAACAGCCGCCCAAAGCAGGGTCCAGTTAACTGAGCTGTGCTGGGGACGCAGTGGGTGCAGCCCCCAACCCCATAAACACCCTGCCCTCCCCGCTTGAGTGCCCAGAGCTGGGAGACTGGGCAGCACTGGGGAGCCATTCCTCGCCATCCCGAGAGAGCAGAAGGATTCCAGGGCTCGCAGCTCCCTGGCCGCAGCCCGGACTCACCTCCGACACTCGCTGCAGGTTCCTGCTGGCAATGACGGTCCGGCAGCCGTGCCTGCGGGGAAGGGGACGGTGAGAAGGGTCGGGCTCCTCACCGGCACCTCGGGATCACCAGGAGGAATTGGGGCGCTCCTCGCAGGAATTGCTGCTGCTCCGAGGCCGCAGGACGGGGAGAGGGAGAGCCAGGGCTGGCCCTGCTCCCGCACTCGCAGCCCCGGAGCCTCCTGAGGGCTCTGCCGCCCTCGGCTTCACATGGCGGCATTGCAGGGCCTGGGTGCACAGTGGGGAAAGGGATGGGAAGGGGGGAAGAGAAGAGAAGCGGGGTGAAGAGAAGAAAAGTCCGGGAAAAGAAGGGAAGAGGGGGAAGCGAAGAAGGAGGGAGGGAAGGACGCGGCGGTCCCACCGYAGGGGCTCCCGCACCTCATGAAGATCTCGGCGATGCGGAAGCCGATGCCGGAGCCSCCGCCGGTGATGAAGGCCACCTGACCCCTGCGGGGACAGAAGCAAGGTCAGAGGCGGGCCCCGGGGAGGCGGCCTCGGGGGGGGCCCGGAGCCCCGGCACTCACGCGAGCAGGTCGGGGCTGAGCAGGTGGCGGTACTGGGGCAGACACTCATCCCCGTCCTCGTCCGGCGGCACCCGCGCGGCCATGGCAGCCTCCGCCATGCTGGGGGGGGGGGCTCCTGCGCACTGCGCCTGCGCGGGCGGCGCCGCCGTCACCTGGCAACGGAGCGATCCTGGACACAGCGACACCGAGCGGCCGCGGCGGGAA